AGAGAGAGAGAGAGAGAGAGAGAGAGAGAGAGAGAGAGAGAGAGAGAGGTGCGCGCGCCGTGGAGTGGAGGGAGGACCCCTCCCCCACCAACCAACCAATCAATCAATCCATCAATTGATCAACCAATCAATCAATCAATCAATCAATCAATCAATAATAAAAAAAAACAGTCAATCAATGAATTTTTTTTTGCTTTCTATTTATTTATTTATTTTTGGTAGTCTTCGAAATCCACCCCCCCGTTTTTGAAATTTTTATGTTTTTTTTTTTGCGAGGAGGTAGGGGGCCCCCCCGGACTCGAGACCCGTTCCCCGCCCCCCAACCCCCCTCCCTGATTCGCGGTGGCATTGGCCGAAAGTTCTCGGCCGGCCCGGCCGCGGCCGAGGGGGTCCCGGCCTAGGCCGCTGGCCGCGGCCTGGGCCGAACCAGGCCGCGGCCACCATGCAACATAGGAGGAGAGTGCTGCTTCTTCTGACTATTAAGAAAAAGTACGCAATGGCCTCTTTTTATTAACCTGTTGCTGACGAAATTCGAAAACCGTATGGACCCGTCGGTCCTGGCAGGTAATCAGCCCCGGCATGGTGCGTTTTGATGGCAATTGGTCGCAGTCTTTCCTGTTTTTGAAACTTTTTGTTTGTATTTCCTTCTTAGCCTGCTGCTGTGTTCTTCATGGCAAGATTCAGCTAGTTCCAGATCCTGCTCCAGCTGGGTCAAGATCCTGTTTCAGATTGTGCTGCAGCTGCTTTCAGATCCTGTTCCAGCTGGAACCAGTTCCTGTTCCGGATGGTCCCGGTTCCAAATTGTTCTTGGTTCCAGATCCTGTTCCAGATGGTTTCAGATCCGGCTCGATCTGGTGTCAGATCATATGCTCCATTTGGTTCCAGTTCCTGTTCTAGATGGTTCCAGATCCTGCTCCAGCTGATTCCAGATTGTGCTCCAACTGGTTTCATGTCCTGCTCCAGCTGGTTTCGGATCCTGCTCCAGCTGGGTCCGGTTCCTGTTCCAGATGGTTCCACATCCTGCTCCAGCTGGGTCTAGATTCTCTTTCAGAGATGGGTTCAGTTCCTGCTCCAGCTGGGTCTAGTTACTGTTCCAGATCCCGCTGTGGCTGGGTCCGGATTTGTTGCAGATTGTTTCTTCAGATGCTGCTCCGGCTGGGTCCAGTTCCTGTTCCAGATGGTTCCACATCCTGCTCCAGCCGGTTTCGTATTCGGGCTTCGTCTGGTTCCAAAACCCTGCTCCCAGTGTCTCCAGATCCGGCCCCGGCTGGTACTTTGAGAGGTAACTGTTAAATTTGCGCCGGTGCAGGTTTGGTCCCCACTTTAAGATGGGAAAGATCAATATCATTGATGACAGGCACCATTTTCAGGTTTGGGTGAGATCAGAATCATCAGATCCATTTCCATTTCTTCTGTTTAGCATCATTAGTGCAGGCTTTGGAACATCAGTGAACTGGATGAGAAGGGCAGTCGTCGCTGTGGGTAGCCGCTGCTTGTCGATAGCCGTTGCTGTATGTGTCCACCTTAGATATCTTGCTGTGTATCAGTTGGATTCTATGTTAGATCGATTACAATCGTCCCCCGAGCAAAACACAAGTATGTACTATTCAACTTTCCCTGGAAAATTCGATTTTGCTCAAAGTCTCACCAGAAATCCAAATAGTATGCAGGTTCAAATAGTACACATGTATGTTCTATTCGAATAGTATGCACGTATGTTCTATCCGAATAGTACGCACGTATGTTCTATTCAAATAGAACATTCGCTCTCTCTCTCTCAACACCCCCCCCCTTTCCTCCCCCCCCCCCCCCCTCCTCTCTCTCTCTCTCTCTCTCTGCCTTACGTGGATGTCTTCTTGGCGGCTTACTGTGACAACGGATCTTGGCGGTACGTGGTGGATTTTCGTTCTAAGACTGCATCGACGTCCAACTACACTGTTCGAATGTTGCACACAGCTGGTAGCAGGGCCGACAGTTCAAATGCTACGTACAGGCGGGGCCTCGCTCCACTACTCTCCACTTGCACAATAGAGAAAAAAGTGCTTCCACTTTCTAGTGTAAGATTCATTCACATTTTGCACATTTGGTTAGTAGTGGAGGGAGGGCCCCGGTATCGCGCCCCCGTGTGCGTGTGTGTTTTTGTGTTTGTTTGTTTGTTTGTTTTTTGACGTGGACCATTTCTTGATTCATGAGTGTCGTTCCAAATCTAACGGACGCCCCGAAGGACAAGCAAGCGCTTGTCTTTTCAAAGACAAGGGCATATACTTCATTTTCTTTGTGTCCCCGTTTTCCGAAGTTGGTGCGCAATATCCGTAGCATAACGCACATGCATTATATATGAATACAACTCACGGGGTGCGATCTAGTTATATACATCGCACGTGTGTTTTGTTCAGGGGAAGACTGTAGTCTTTGTACTGGTGATTGTGGATATGTCTCCATCCCTCCGAGGATGGTACTTGTCGCGCTGACCATCGGCGTTTGGTTGTCTGTGTTTTTCCTTCTGTTGTTGTGCGCTAGATTCCTGGGCACAAGGGAAACTTTGTCGTCATTCAGGATGCGTTGAGGAAGCCGAAAGATACGTCTTGGCCATTTCCAACACATTTTGCAGACTCGAATGAAGATCTCGAAGCACTGCTTCAGCCTATGATTGCGCCGCGGAGCCCTGTGGACCCCTTTGCTGAGGATTAGAGTTAGATTTGTAGCGGTGTCGCCGGTATGTATGGAATCTGCGTAGCACATGTAGCATTATTTGCTGCATTATTCACTGATTTTGCCAATGCGTATTGGAAGAAGTTTTGTTGACGAGTCCGTAATGCTCCATCCTTATGAATTGGAATCGGGATCTGATATTGGTGTGATAACCGAGGTTCATAATACTTCACATGAGAGGAAGCCTGTTGTCGAACAAAAATCATTGTCTTCATCTATTCTCGTCTCGTATACAGGCAACCTAGCTGCCATGGTGGCAGGTTGCTTGTCCTGTCTTTTTCCTTTTTTTTTGTGTGTGTGTGGAGGGGGGGGGAGGAGGGAGAGAGGATGATTTGTGTTCCTTGGTGGGCTCGATAATGATGGCCGTTCTTCAAAATTGTATAGAGATGGATGGTAAGTTGACTCATGGAAAGTTCATTAGTTGCAATGTCGATGGAAAGCGGACTTATCTGGCGTGGATTGAAAGAGGATTGCTTGAAAGCTGTAGCATCACCTAGGCGTACTCCCGGACTACGCATACGTACTTGCGCACACGTACTCCACCCCTGAAAATGCAAAAGAGTATACATCTCTGTCTGTCTCTCTCTCTCTCTCTCTCTCTCTCTCTCTCTCTCTCTCTCTCTCTCTCTCGCGCGCGCGCGCGCGCGCGCGCTGTGCCTGTGTTCCTGAAACCAGTCCTGTTCGGTCTGCAGCAGTGGCCACTTACCATAGGGAACACCTGCTCCTCCACTCGATTCTTTTCTTTTGTTATGATCCTTGATAAACTCGCAATTCAAAAGCTCACAAAGAGACAATGCCATTCCATTGCAACTCAAATGAAAGAGATTGGAATTGAGACGAAAGAGAAAGAACTACGGAGAACAGAAGAAGAAGAAGAAGAAGAAGAAGAAGAAAACAGACAAGTTGGAACCAATGTCATCTCTCCCTCATCACCTACATCATCTTGGCCCTCATCGTCTCCTCCATCATCTCACTAGGAATAATAATAAACAACAATAAATGAAAGTGCCAGAATGAATGTCCGATTACTCCCCCTTACCGCCAGCACTCAAAGAGCCCTTTGCTATGTGCCTTGTCAGACCGTCTCCCTCCAACTCAATCAACAGCACAAAGTTCCCAGGAGTCTTCTTCTTCCTCCCGCAAAGTCAATCTCTGGATATGGCGCGACACAGCGCACCCTCCAACTCCCTCTTCACTTCGAAGTGCTCCGCCTACATCACCCTCTTGGCGGAGCAGCATAATGCTCACTTGAAGAATGAACCGAAGTGTGTTGCTATGCACTACACCCGCTCAGATACTGTTGCTGCTTGGCCTCCGATACCTCCTGGCGGCGTACTACCCAGCACACCTGAGCCTCCCCCTTGGGTGCACTAGGGTGACCAGGCCTACCTGGTGTTCCTGCGTTTGCCGGGAACATCATTTCAGACTGCTACGCAGCCTCATGCCTAGCCTAGTACCCTACCATATACAGCCCTGAATGCGTACGACTGTTTTGGGCCGCTACTGGGCTCTACCCACTAAGCCTACTGGGTCTCAGGGCCTACCTGAGTTGCTGGAGATCCTACCGGGCCCCTGGGCACTTCTACTAGTTCTGTCCCTGGGCACCAGGCTAGCTGCCAGCATAACCAACTGCAGATGGCCATCCTACCCCTGGACGCCTCTCTACCCCTTCCCTGTCGCTGACCGAGGCGCAGCCACACACACAGCCAACAGAGAGTTAGCACGCGGGCCCAGACTCCGACCCAGGCAAGCCCGCGAGACATCCACATTAGCAGTCGGTTGCACACACCCTTAGAAACCACAGGAAATCACAGCAGAACAGATCGAGAGTCGGAATTCAGGCACAGGGTTTTGCAGCAACTGCAGGAATCTCAGACAGCGGTCTGTGCAGTTCATTGCACTCCCAACGGCTGCAAAGCGGCAAAGCGAGGTCCCTTCGAGCACAATCCGGTTTTTAGGGCGATGGAAGGCTCTGTAGGAGCAAATTGCAACATGGCGACCGCGATCTGCAATTTCACGCTCGCAGGCGTTCACCACGCGGGCTGCATTTTCTGCAGACTGGAGCAAGTGATCCAGTATAGCTGGTCAGGTGGGTGGTACAGGAAATGCACCAGGTATTCCTTTTTCTGGCGCCCATTCTTCCGGTGCTTCACCGCACGGTCCCACTTCAATTCCCGCCGTTAATAGATTTAGCAATCATCAGTGGACTGCTGGGGGAACTCGTTAGAAGTTACGCACGATGTGAAGAGTTTGGATGCACAAAACAAAGGATACGTAAGCAGATGTGGAGGCACATCAACTACGTACGATGGACTGAACTCGGTGTCACCAAGAGCTTAAAGTTTGCGAATCGGCCAAGGGCCGTAGTACAGTGGCAAGAGTGTGTGTGGCACACCCTCTTCATCTGAAAAGCTGGACATCACCCAGGCGTGCTTGGCCATGGCGTCTTGCTGTTTTCACATGGCAGCAATTGTGCAAGCAAGCGACTTACGGGACTTGCCCCCACAGCCAGGCGGCATGCCAGGGGTCAGTTCGGGGTGGCGATCGGGCAACAGGAAATCAATAGGACTGCAGATGTGACATCCGATCTGCAGTTTGTTGGGAGTTGTAGATGTCGGGGAATGAATGATGAGTCATTGGATCGACACTTCGTTGGGAGTCGTACTCGCTGCTTTTCGACTTGCTGCCTTGGTCGCTTTGTGGGGTTTTGCCTCACCACTTTTTGCCTTTTGGCTGCCTTTTGCCTCGCTGCCTTTTGCCGTGCAGACTTCTGCCGCTGCTGCTTTTCACTTTGCTGCCTTATGTTGTGTGTGCCCATCCTCCTTGCGGCTGCTTGTCGTCCAACAGCTTGTTGCCTCACCTTTGCCTTGCTGCACGTGGTGCTGTTTGCCCGCTTACGACAAGGGTTAAGCAGCCCATGACTCAGAGCATCAGTGTATGGGTATTGTGTAGGTCGTCGATGGTTCAGCCTCCTGATGAGTTGGTACGAGTCTGATGGAAGTCCGACGAAACTGTCGGTCATGATCGGGCTGTTCTATTCTTTTTTCTTCTTCTCGAGTTTCTGTTTTCTCTCTCTCCTTCTTTTTCCTGTTTCCTGTTTTTGTGTAGTCTCTCTTTATGGTGTTGTCCTGGGTTGGGTGGTCTTCTTATGGTGCTGTCTTGGGCCTTTCGTTCAATGCACCAATTGCAGGCCCATTTTCTATGCCCGCGTGACACTGCTGTTTGTAACACAGCATCCTGGACTGCGAGTCCTGCTGTCTTAACTCCTCCACAAGGCACGAGAGCTGCAAGATGAAGTGAAAGAGAAACCACAAGCGGAATAAAATGGGACAAGGAAAAGGCAATAGAACGGCTTCAGTGGCCGTCATGTTGCCTGCTATATAGAATATCCCAAGGTTGAGCTGTTCCAATATGGATCTACTCATCTGGGTGGAAAAGGGGTTGTTGTGGTGACGGTTCACAGCGAACATCCCATAAAAAGCTGAAGCTTGTTCCAATACTAAAAATACTAAAAATATTAAAAATACTAAAAATGCTAAAAATCTACTCCTTTGACGCATGGATAACCTGGGTTATCGAGCAGTAAATACTAAAAAGAGAGAATCATTCACTAATGCTGAAGCTTGTGTTGGGTGGGGTTTTGTCTGGGTAAGATTAGCAGATTGCCAGAGTCGATAGTTTAGAGATTACATTTGCCCCCCCCCCAATAGATCTGCAAAGATTTGGATGCTCTTTTAGACCAGGTTTATACTATTGACATCCCCAATATGAGCTACACAAGTATTTTGACTGTATGTGGCCCTAAACTCGGACCAGGTGCAGTCAGGATGCCTGTGTATGGGGAATGATAGCAGTCTAGCGCGAGCATAGATCAGGTCTGTATGATTGCGACTCGGACTTTGTTCCATTGGTTTTCCATTCTCAGCACCCTAAGGACAGACGCACCCTGCGACTTCTTTCGTGCGTCCGTTAAAGTTGGCGATGTCTTTGCACTCACACAGTACCCCCCTGAACCGAAAAGCAATTGCAAATTTGTATTCGGGATTTGGAAATGTTGAGGCCCTCCTGGGCCCCGGGATTTACGGATATTCTAAGTCACCTCTGGAGATGATTGCAATTGCTTTTCGGCGAATTTTCGGAACTT